AATTTCTTATGCATTCTATGGAATTTTAAAGAAACACTGGCATTTCAAAGATAAAAACTTCTTGTCAGTGGTTGAAATTGTAATTCACTTACATATTCATTTGAAGTTGTTAATGTACACACCAAAGGTAGGATTTTGCTAACCTTTTTCTTTCCTACATTATGTCCACAATAAGCTTACCTTGCCAGGCCCCAGGATGCAATGTCGTCATTGAAGGTCCCAGCGAAGCAATTGCAATTGCATTATTCAACAGTCACCAGCTTCACCATCCTCCAAACTTGATTGACACTCATTCAGCCTTCTCAAAACACAAGGCACCTAAAATGGATCGCCCCCACATCGGTCAGGATATCTCAGAAAAAGAGTGGGCAAACTTTATTAGTCGCTGGACATTGTTTAAGAGATGTACAGACATCAGACAAGAAGAGATGACAGCACAGCTGTTTCAGTGCTGTGAGGACGACCTTGGAAATCAACTCCTAAAAGAAAATCCCATGATAATTAAAGAAAACGATGAGGCATTTCTAAAAGCAATGAAAAAACTGGCCGTTATCCCAGTAGCCATTTGCGTCAGAAGAGCAGAACTCCTTCAAATGAGACAGGGACACAACGAAAGTATTCGGTCATTTTATGCAAAACTGAAAAGCAAGGCTGCTACTTGCAACTACACTGTTCAATGCCACTGCCACCCACAAATAACTGTTGATTTTACCGATGTTATCATACGAGACATTGTTGTTGCTGGGCTATCAGATACTGACATCCGCAAAGATGTACTTGGATGGGTCTCCCTTGACACAGCCTCAGTCACAGATATCATTGCTTTTATAGAGGGTAAGGAAATGGCACGAAATGCACTAGGCTGTAGTTCAACAACAGCAAGTGTATCAACTTTCAGGAAACAAAACAAGAGCAATACACAGAGTAGTAAAGGGACCAATATAACAGCCAAATGTCTAGATTGCTCAGAATCTTACAGTTTATTTACAGAAACATCCAGAGGATGGAACAAAAAACCCCCCAAGCTGTGTCTAGACTGTTGGAAGAAGCTCAGATCTCGCACTTCTAAAATTAACAACAGAATCATCCCAAATGATAAAAAATCGAATGCAACCAAAGATGCTGAGGCAGGCGGACTTCTGTTAAAGTTAAGTGCAATTGAGCATTCAAATAAAAAAATTAGATCACAAATGAAGACCAATGTGAAACGACCCTGCACATGAATAAACCATCACATATTTACCCATGATGGATGGGCCACAGCTCAATTGCTTGTTCATCCTACAATTCAGCTGCGTGTGACTACTAACAAATCAGACTATGTCGCATTTGGTATTCCATTTCCTCCCATTATACCAAAATATATACAAGTTATTACAGATACCGGTGCACAGTCCTGCTTATGGTCTAGGAAAGGGTTTGACAGTGCAGGCTTTAATGCAAACAATTTAATACCTGTGAAATATAGCATGTCGGCCGCAAATAAAACCCAATTTCGTATAGATGGTGCAATTCTTTTACGTCTCGAAGGACGACAATCTAATGGCCACAAAGTTGAATGTGCAGTAATGGTTTACATAAGTCCAGACGCAAACGGATTCTACCTATCTAAAGAAGCAATGACCCAACTGGGTATCATCTCTAAGGACTTTCCAGAGATAGGCAGTGCCGTCCACGGAGCTATTAACTCAAGCCCCCAAACTAAAGGGATTAAAACATCCAGTGAAAATAATAGCTCACACCTGTGCAATTGCCTTAAAAGAAGTCTCCCAGCAGGTGCACCCACCAAACTTCCATTTGTCTGCTGTCCTGAAAACAACGAACGGATGAAAGCGTGGCTCCTTAAGAGATACTCTGCTTCAACATTCAACACATGTCCACACCAGATTTTACCTGATATGGAGGGACCTCCAATAAGTATTTTAATTCAAGAAAATGCCAAACCAGTTGCAGCATTTACTCCAGCCACCATACCAATCCATTGGCAAGACCAGGTGGAAAAGGATTTAATTCGTGATGAAACTCTTGGAGTTATTGAAAAGGTACCTCTAAGAGAACCTACAACATGGTGTCAAAGAATGGTTATCACACGTAAGCATGACGGTGGGCCTTGTCGCACTGTTGATCTATCTCCTTTAAACAAGTACTGCTACAGAGAAACTCATGCAATGAAATGGCCTTTCCAACTAGCTTGTTCAGTCCCAAGAAATTCATGGAAAACTGTAACCGACGCATGGAATGGTTATCATAGCATCCCGATACGGGTTGAAGACAGGAATCTTACCACCTTCATTACTCCTTTTGGGCGCTACAGATACATCCGAGCTCCTCAAGGTTTTGTATCTAGCGGGGATGGCTACAACAGACGTTTCGACGAAATTTTAGCAGACTTTATTGGCAAACAAAGATGTGTTGATGACACCATCCACTACGATGACAACCTAGTCAAACATTGGTGGCGGACAATCGAATTTCTTGAGCTTGTTGGTAAAGCTGGGATCATTTTGAATCCACAAAAATTCCAATTTGCTAAAAGAATAGTGGATTTTGCAGGTTTCAGAATATCTGAAAATGGAGTTGAACCACTACCTAAATATATCGACGCCATTAGATCATTTCCAACACCATCCTCAATAACAGACATTCGATCTTGGTTCGGCGTAGTGACCCAAGTATCACATTACGCTCAACTTCGAGAAACTATGGCCCCATTCAGAGTTCTGCTTAGCCGAACTCAACACTTTATTCAATGTGTCAAAGGAAAAAATCATCAACGCAATTAAAGATGGAGTCCAAACATTTGACATTACCAAGAAGACCTGTTCAAGATGCGACTGGTCAAAATTGGGGATAGGATATTACCTAAGCCAAAAACATTGTGAATGTAAATCGGACACCCCAGATTGCTGTATAGACGGATGGAAAATAACCCTAGCAGGGTCCAGATTCCTGTCATCTGCTGAACAACGATATGCACCAGTTGAGGGCGAAATGCTAGGAGTGGCATGGAGCCTGGAGCAGACTAAATATTTCACACAAGGTTGTGATAATCTTATGGTAGTAACTGATCATAAACCACTTGTCAAATTTTTAGGAGATAGGATCTTAGATGAAATTGCTAACACACGACTTTTTCGACTAAAACAGATAACTTTGGCATGGAAATTTACCATCCAACATCAACCAGGAAAAACAAACCTGGCAGCAGATGCTACTTCTTGTTACCCTGCAGAGAACACAAAGGAATCTGATAATTCAGCCACTTGCAATCAAAATACCGATTTTGACAACACAGAATCACTAATAATAGCCTCAATACGAAATGACATAGATAAAATGATTGCAGTAACATGGGATAGTGTCAAAACAGAGACAGAAAAGGATACCGATTTTAAAGCATTAATGTTAGCAATAGAAAACGGTTTCCCAAAAAATAAGAATAACTTCATACCAAATCTTTTACCGTTTTGGGAATACCGCAATGACTTGATGGTGTCTGACGGGGTTATAATATACAACGACAGAACTGTAATCCCACCTACTCTATGGAAAGAGATATTGGACGTACTACACTCAGCCCACCAAGGAGTATCGGGAATGACAGCCAGAGCTCAAGCCACTGTTTTCTGGCCAGATATCACTCACAGCATACAAAGTAAGTGCGATAACTGTTGCAGCTGTAATCGAAATGCACCTTCTAATGCACGACTACCACCCATCCGAGCTCACATCCCTGTGACACCATTTGAATGCATATTTGCTATTTTTAATTCCGTGGCTGGGATTATCTGGTCATTGGAGATAGACTTTCTGGATTGACCGAAGCCTACAGAATAAAATCAGGAACATCAGAAATGAGTGCAAAAGGTCTTATCACGTGCTTACGTAAACTATTTACAACATTTGGAGTCCCAGAAGAAATTTCAACCGACGGTGGTCCTCAATTCACATCTGGAGAAACAAAAGAGTTTCTACAACAATGGGGCATAACTCATTGCATTTCATCAGCCCACCACCCACAATCTAATGGAAGAGCTGAGCTTGCAGTTAAGTCAACAAAACGCCTCCTCGAAAATAATGTGGGACCGAATGGTGATCTCAATAATAACGCTTTAGTAAGGGCAATGCTTACAATAAGAAACACACCAGACCCTACTTGTCAGTTATCCCCCGCTCAAGTATTATTTGGCCATCTCATTCGCGACGCCATGCCCAGGATAAAATCCAGAATACCTATGTTTAATAACGACCAATTCTTGAAAACGTGGAGACATGCATGGTCTGCAAAAGAAGAAGCATTACGAACAAGATATGCAAAGGCCCTTGAATCACTTCAAGAACACACACGTTTTCTTACACCACTACATGAAGGAGACAGTGTCTTCATACAAAATCAAGTAGGGAACCACCCTAAAAAATGGGATCGTAGTGGAAAAGTTGTTGAATGTAAGGAAATTGACCAATACATCATTAAGGTTGAAGGAACAGGTCGACTAACATTGAGAAATAGAAAATATTTGCGCAAATTCCTCAACCCACTAAAGTCATACAAAACCGAAGTTGCATTGACCACACTTTAAGTTTAACAACCTCTTCAATAGTTGATCTGAATATACCAGACTGTAAAGGTGTCTGAATGTTAATCCCATTTTAAGATAACTGTCAACAAATGGTTGCTGCTTTGCTAGTCGATAACTTTGAAGATGTTACTAATTTGGTTTTTCTGAAGTTCTTGCTGATACTTGTGGACTGTAATTCTGAATCTTCAAACTCTTGAAATTCGAGACTCAAATATTCGAAAGTTGACACTGTTTTTTTTTTTTTTTTTTAAATTATACCTCACCTCCTCAAGGCCGAGAAGGCCACTACAGACAAGGAGGCTACTTATTTTGTGGCTATAACCCTCTCTCAACTCTATAACTCCGAAACACGAACCTTGACAAACAAGGCCGCTGCGCAGAGAAACAAGTTGAGCGTGGTACTACCAGGGACGTGGTGGGGATCGAACTCCGAACCACTCGTTTATGAAGCGAGCGCTCTACCACTACACCACTACCGCATGTTGCTGTTGCCACTACTGTTGATGAAGTAGGCTTCAAGGATATTGTTGTTCTTTTGGATATACAAATAGTTTTTGAACTAGGGAGCATTTGCTTTAAATCTGAAGATAGAAACTTTTTTCTTCACGGTAGAGCACTCACCATCTTGTTTGATGTCAAAAACCTAATTCAATGAATAGTATTTTCTTTGTTTTACACATTTATTTTACGTCTTAAGCACTTTTTACAGTTTTGCCTGTACGACTTGATTTGGTAATTGTGGAAAACTTAATTTGTTTTGTCATAAACTTAATACTTTTTTCTTGTTAATTCTCCGGAAATATATTTAGGAATATAAGTATAATTTATTGTATAAATATAAGTGTTTTTGTAAATCTATATTATTTTACTTTTAGACTCCAGAAAATTCTAGAGAGTTTCAGAGACTTCTAAAAACATCCAGAAAAGACCAGAAAGTTCTAGAAAGTTCCATAAGGTTCAAGAAATGCTATTATATATATAAAAATATATTAGGCTTCAAAAAGTAATAATGTAACTGCCTGCAATTAACTACTTATATACCATTTTAAAAACTTTGTGTTTTGGGTGACCTTTTTTAAAAATTAATGAAAAAAAAACAACCCATTTTTAATACTTTTGAGTATATGTCTATCGATTCATGACAAGAAATTAAATATATTAGAAAAAGTTAAGTCAAGTATATATATATATATATATATATATATATATATATATATATATATATATATATATATATATATATATATATATATATATATATATATATATATATATATATATATATATATATATATACACATATATATATATATATATATTATGAACTTGATAAGTGATTTTTCACTAATTTATGTTTGTTTTATTCTTTTTAGAACAATGAGCGCTCTTTATATATAACTCCAAACATTTATATGTTTATACAGTAAGGATGCTTTGCAAACAATTGCGATGGTCGGAGCATGGAAAAACCAATAAAATAAATATTTGCACGATTAACCAACCTTTTTTTTCTTTTTTAGTCAGCAAAACATGTAAGGTAATCCCCCCACCCCCCATTCCACGCGCCGGCCTTGCATATATATATATACATAATCAATGATTGTGTATATACAAATGCAATATATGATAGTCAATATGCAATCAATATGCAATATGCAATATATGATTGTCATATATGTATGTGTATGTGTGTGCGTGTGTGTGTGTGGAGTAGGGGGTGGGGGTGGGGGAGTGACTTACAAGTTTTACCAACTAATAAAGAAAAAAAAAAGATAAATTTAATGGAGGGTTTTCATCCCATAAAAAAGGATTCTAAGAAAATTATTTAGTGTGTTACCAGCAAACATTGTGTTTATAAGTGGTTATCTATAATAGTCAATAAAATTAATATAGTATAATTATTAATAAAATATTTATGCCTAAATCTTTAAACAATTACATTTATTAATTAAAAAAATAATAAATAATGTTGCATTTTTTTTGGTAATTCATATTATTGTGTACTTTATCATTATATTTGATGTTAAAATATTTAGTTATTAATTATCTGACTATATAATATTTTATACATATAACTGTGAAACAAATATTTTGTTTACCTACAGGTGTAATGAAATCTTAATATTTTCAGTTGTTTTTTTCTATACTATAAAAATGAAACTATTTTGCAAAAATTATGCAACCACAAAATAAATAGATTTTCTTAGCAGAACTTGTATTTATAATATGTATTAGTATATTTAATATACATATATATACATATATATATATATATATATATATATATATATATATATATATATATATATATATATATATATATATATATATATATATATATATATATATATATATATATAGGCCTGCATTTACCCCATTTGGGGCCCTAGGCAGATTCAAATTTTGGGGCCCCTAAAATGATCCTCTGCTCTCGAATTCGAGTCAAAACTTGAATTTTCCGCGATTTCATTCAAAGAATCTTCTATGTCTTTGTAATTGCGATATATTGTATTCACAGAGTCTACAAGAGCACTCCATCGGGTTTTAGACAAAATTTAACAAACCTATCTGAAGATTTCTCTAGAATAGCCCATCGTTTGGTTGATGACGTAAAAAAATTATATATATATTTGTTGAACTATTTCGAAAAAATTAATTGACTCTATACAATAATCAACACTAAAACTAAAAAATTACACTAACAAATTACTAAAGTAATTTTTAAGAGATGGCGCCCAAGTTTTAAAATCTTGGTGCCCGAGGAAGTGCCTAGTCTGCCTATAGGTAAATCTGGGCCTGTATATATATATATATATATATATATATATATATATATATATATATATATATATATATATATATATATATATATATATATATATATATATATATATATATATATATATATATATATATATATGTATATATATATGTATATATATATATATATATATATATATATATATATATATATATATATATATATATATAGTATATATATATGTATATATATATATATATATATATATATATATATATATATATATATATATATATATGTATATATAAATATGTATATATATATATATATATATATATATATATATATATATATATATATATATATATATATATATATATATATATATATATATATATATATATGTATATATATATACATATTATTCTGTGGAATCAGGTCTACATGAAATGTCATTGCTAATGTCATACTGAAACAAAGATAGGTATAAAGATAAAGGCATAGGCATAAGTACATATGTAAACTAAAAAGTTAGGTAAGAAATTTACAGTATTGTGAAAAGGTTAAGAACCACCAAAAAAAAAATTCATAATTTTTTTTTTTTTAATTTTATTTAAAAATAAATTATATTCGAATATAAAAATTATTTTTATTAGAATATAATTTTCCGGAAAAATAAAAAAAATAAAAAATTTTCAGAAAAAAGACAAACAAACTTAAAAAAAAATAATGAAAAAAACTTTTAAGCAAGCAAAAAAATTTATTTAAAGTTTTATAAGTAACTTTTATTTTAAAAAAATTGTGAAAAAGTTAAAACCCATAAAACAAAAAACAGTTATTTTTATCTAATACAGTGTAATTCTAATTCATGATCCACGAATTTTTAAGCACTCATTTATTCATTTTAGGATTGAGTCTATTAAGTTCTATTAAGTTCTATTAAGTCTATTAAGGAGCATTTCTAAGTGTTGTTGGTAAAATATTGTGCAACTCCTCAAAGCTCCTTGGTGCTTTCTTAGTAATCTCTTTATCAAGCTAACTCCAAAGATTTTTAATGCAAATTTAGATCTGGGCTATTTAGTGGCTAAGTTAGACGCTCAATATTTTTGCTTTCAAACCATTCAGACCATAATATGTCATGCAGCACCATATTCCAAATAATCCGCTACCTTGCTTTGTTTTTTGTACAATACAACCGAGGTTATATTTATGTAAAGGCTGCCTGCCAATCATAATTTGGTTTTTTTGATTATCAACCTCAATATTCATCTCATCACTGAACATTACTGTCCTCCATTTTTCTTTAGACTATTTTTTGATGCATTAACAAAATTCTTTTTTATATGTTGTCTGGTAAGTCGCGGTTTTAGAATAAATTTTTTCCATGACATTTAGTATGCTATTAATTTCCTACGCACAAGTGATGCCGATATGTGACGTCTATTTAAAAGCTTTCATTCCCTTCTTAATTCATGCAACAGCATGATTTGACTTTTCTTTGTCACCTGATTTAAAGGCACTCATCATTGTGTCGTCAAACGCAGTTATTCAGAACAATCGCAATCAAAATAAGATTTCATCTCTTAAGTTTCTTTATTCATAATAAATAAATTATAGATTATAGTCATTTTTACTTTTTTTAACATATAAATGTTGTATTTTGAAGAATAAAACTGTTTCTTTAAAAAATTAATGAAGAAGTGCAGCACCAGGCAATCTATGCTGAGGATACGTGGTGTATCTGGGCTGATTGTTGGATGATAAGTTGGTCGAGTCGGATTTTGAATGCATTGGTCGAAGTCGCATGAACTGTTATGGGTGGCAGCTTGTTCCAGTCGTTGACAACTCTGTTCGTGAAGAAGTGAAATCATTTGGAGCAGTTCGTCACTAGCTGTTTATCTAGGTGAAGGTTGTGGCTGTGTAGATTGAAGTGGGAGATTGAGGGCGCAGAAGCAAGAAGAAAAAGTCCCCACGTTTTCTTCTTGCTTCTAAAGTTGTTAAGCCGAGTGTATGGAGGCTTTCTGCGTAGGGAAGATATTTTAGTTGGGTTTTTGATTTGGTCGCTCTGTATTGGATTTGCTCGAGTCCTTTTATGTCGCTTTAAAAGTGAGGGACCACGCCTGGACTACAAACTCAAGATGTGGATGCACATAAGTGGTGTACAAGACTTTACAGAACTGTTTCCCTCGGCTTCTGAATAACTATTTGAGTTTTCCCAGCATCATGCTGGCTCTAGTTGCTGTGTATTCAACCTGCTTGTTGACTTTGAGGTTGTCTGATACAAGCACTCTGAGGTCTTTTTCTGTAGTGGTGACTTCGAGTAGGTGCCGATAGCCGTCTCCTTTAGCCATGGTGTAGTTGTTTCAATTTTTTTATTGCTTTTTTTCTGCATGCATTACTTTGCATTTGTTGATGTTGAAAAGCATAATCCACTTCCCAGACCATTTAACCGCCTTGTCGACGTCGTTTAGTAGGGAAGCAGCGTCTTCGTTTGTTTTGATAAGGCCCATGAATTTGCTATCGTCAGTGGTATATTTTTGTGTGGTGAGCAATGTTGTCATGGATGGTCATTGATGTAAAGGATTTGAATTATTTGATGATTGTTTGAATCTTTAAATGTTTGAAATGATAAACTGAATTTGAATTGAATCTTTGAATTGATGATTGTTTGAATTTTTGATTCATTTGATAATTGTTAGCACCAAACTATGTGATCGCTTTATTATTTTGCCAATATCACAAGCGGTTTTACCTTCCTGGTCAAAATGCACCACTTTTACACGATCTTCATAGGTCATAGCTTTTTTGCTCTTTTTTTTTTTTTTTTTTAATTTTTTTTTTTTTTTTTGAAATTAATAATTTTTTTGTTTTTTTGTATGGCTCATGTCATAAATAAAATATTTAAACAAAAAAGGTAAAAATAAATTTAAAAAAAAGATGTTTCAGCTACATTTAGAACAAAAAATTATTTTTGGTTCTTAAATTTTTACAAAAAATATAAAGAAAAATTAACACATAATATTTAATCCTTATTTTTATAGGTTTTATTGACTAATTTTCAAAAAAACTTTTTTTTTCATGTTTTTATAAATATGTTTGTAAAAAAAGGTATGTTATTATCTTTGGAATAAAAATTACTTGAATTATTTAAAAGTGTATTTTTTTTTTATTTAGCGATTCTTAACTCTTTCACAAAACTGTATATAGACCTACTACAGATAAAAAATAAATAATACTTTTTGTCTTACTACCATTTTTTTTGAAAAAAGTGTCTGGATTCCGACACAATTAATGTGTATATTATATTTTATGCTATATGTTATATTTTGTATGCTTTAAGTTATATTATAAATCATATATACTCTATGTATATAAATTCATACATGTATAAAAAAAAACATACATAATATCTTTTTTATCCATATATATGAGTTTAATGAGATACTAAGTGTTCTTTGTACAATCACTTATTTATCAAATACAGCTTAAATTATTTACATTATAATAATTGTTACACAATAAAATCAAAAACAAATATCAACCAATAAAAAAATAACAATCTTTTATGCCTTTATCCAAAACAACTTAAATAAACTGTCCAAAAAAAATAAATTTACTATGGACAAGATTTACTGTAAACAAGATTTATTGTAAACAAGATTTACTGTAGACAAGATTTACTGTAGACAAGATTTACTGTAGATAAGGTTTACTGTAGACAAGATTTACTGTAGACAAGATTTACTGTAGACAAGATTTACTGTAGACAAGGTTTAATGTAGACAAGATTTACTGTAAACAAGATTTACTGTAAACAAGATTTACTGTAAACAAGATTTGCTGTTGACAAGATTTACTGTTGACAAGATTTACTGTAGACAAGATTTACTGTAGACAAGATTTACTGTAGACAAGATTTACTGTAGACAAGATTTACTGTAGACAAGGTTTACTGTAGGCAAGATTTACTGTAGACAAGATTTACTGTAGACAAGATTTACTGTAGACAAGGTTTACTGTAGGCAAGATTTACTGTAGACAAGATTTACTGTAGACAAGATTTACTGTAGACAAGGTTTACTGTAGGCAAGATTTACTGTAGGCAAGATTTACTGTTGACAAGATTTACTGTAGACAAGATTTACTGTAGACAAGATTTACTGTAGACAAGGTTTAATGTAGACAAGATTTACTGTAAACAAGATTTACTGTAAACAAGATTTACTGTAAACAAGATTTGCTGTTGACAAGATTTACTGTAGACAAGATTTACTGTAGACAAGATTTACTGTAGACAAGATTTACTGTAGACAAGATTTACTGTAGACAAGGTTTACTGTAGGCAAGATTTACTGTAGGCAAGATTTACTGTTGACAAGATTTACTGTAGACAAGATTTACTGTAGACAAGATTTACTGTAGACAAGGTTTAATGTAAACAAGATTTACTGTAGACAAAGTTTACTGTAGACAAGATTTACTGTAGACAAGGTTTACTGTAGACAAGATTTACTGTAGACAAGATTTACTGTACACAAGGTTTACTGTAGGCAAGATTTACTGTAGGCAAGATTTACTGTTGACAAGATTTACTGTAGACAAGATTTACTGTAGACAAGATTTACTGTAGACAAGATTTACTTTAGATAAGAATTACAGTAGACAAGATTTACTGTGGACAAGATTTACTGTAGGAAACGCAACTAAGCAATATAAAGAAAATAATTCAACAAACCATGAAGTGGAAAACCTTGCATAGGATATGTACATGACTGCACTTAAATTTATCAGAATACAATTCTTAAAACAACAAATGTTTTTGCCATGACTCTGAAGAGAACACTTCAGAAAGATTTTCTAAATGTAAAGTTGCAAAAGAAAATTTCTTTTCAAAAAATATTACCAAAAAAATGAAATTTGGAAACATAATTCTTTATGTTTGTTATGGAGTGTTAAAAATATTAATGGAATCTTAAAAACTTTAAATCCTGCAGACATGAGTCAAGAATTCACGATTTTTGATTCAGTAAAAGGTTGTATACGTGTCGCTTATTTTACAAAAAAAGAATATTAAACTGCTAAACATTTTAAAGATTGCTCTGTTATGGTCTGTAGAGATTACTTACTTAATGTTTTTTATGTAGTTCTTGATGCAAAAGGTATCATAGCTTCAAAGGTTTTTGGTAGGTTCTCTGAATTTTGAGAATTACTTTTTAAGTTTTCTAACTTTATTTTTATGTTTTAATATGTATAATCTGTTTTATAGAATAATGACAGTGTAGAAAAATGTCTTCAATTAAAATATTACTAGGAAATAATAATATAATTTTTTCATTGGGTTTCTGCCGAGTGTATAACTTGCTATGATTGATAATAAATTATTCTATTAAAGCAAAAAAAAAAAAAAAAATTAAAAAAAAAAATTGAAATTTTTTTTAAATAAAAAGATTGCCTTCTTGCATCCTAGCAGCACTCCTCTCATGTTTTACCTATTTGTCAGTTAATGTAGCAGCAGTTTGTGAATGTTCTACTTATTTTCAGTTAATGAAGTAGCACTCCTTGCATATTCTATTTATTTGTCAGTAGATGTAGCAGCAATACTCAAACGTTAACTTATTATGTTACTTATTTGTCAGTGGATGTAGCAGCACTGCTTGCATATTCTACTAATTTGTCAGTCAATGTATGTACACTAAAATAAAACAAATAAAACTAAAACATAAACACAGTTTAAAACATGAAAAAAAATAAAAACACATTTTCATTTAAAAAAAAAATAATTCTAGTCAACTAAGTGTGCGTTTTTGTGGTAATTTAAAAAACTTTGTTTTGAAATTATATTAATAGTTTTAACTTTTAGACAACGTGGAGTTGTTAAATGAAAATCAAATGTAATTAAAAGTGATGCAATTTTTTGTCAAAAGAATCATTTTTTACCTTCCATACTTTCGAAGTCAACAATTTATAGAACATATATATATATATATATATATATATATATATATATATATATATATATATATATATATATATATATATATATATATATATATATATATATATATATATATATATATATATATATATATATATACATATATATTAGATAACATGATATATATACATATCTTGTACCTTTGTGTACTTAGGTTAGCAATGTAACCTGCACACTTTACATTTGTTAAAATGTTAATTTTAATCCAGACAGTTTTTTCAAAAAAAAAATTATTTTTTTACCATAATAAATGCCCTTAATTTGTAGATTGTATCTGCCCAAATCCTCAGTTTATGAAAGTATTAAAGTTTTCACAAATTTAATATTTTTATTTAAATTATCTTTGATGTTTTATGAATATCTAAGTACGCAAAGACATATATTTATGAAATGCACAGTATGAAACATCGCTTAGCCATATTATCAATAAAAAAATCACTTTTTAACAAAGGAATCAAAAACTTAATTAGTTTTTAAAAATGTTTTAAATATAAAATAATAAGTAACTTTGAAATTGTTATCTAACTTTATTATGGGTACTTGCTCGACACACATTTAAAGATTTTTTTTTTAAATTTAGGGCATACCAAGTGTTCCAAAATCTTGGGCAACACCTAATAAGAAATTTTATACGCTAATTTTTGAAATTAAGTATTATTTTTTTATAAAAAATACATTTAAAGAGTGGGAGCAAACTTTATTTTAAAAGTTATTTTCAAGAACCACCTTAATTTATTTACTATGACATATATATCTGCACAGCCTAACAAACCAAATGCATTTTTATTCAAAAAAAAAAGACTTTTTTTTTTGAATAATTAGTCTTTTAATTATGTAGATACAACAGCCTAATACCTTTAACTGTTGGTCAATGTATGTAATAAAGCCCCATCTATTTCTGAATGACATCATCAGTTATGCTTCATGTAGACCATAATCAGTGGTATAAGATGAAAAAATAAATTTAAAGAGTAGTTCCCCCTCCTTGTTTTTAGACACCCAAGATATATAAATTTAGAACTTTAAGACCTGGGATGCACTGCATACAACACGATCCAGGTATATATCCAGATCTGAAGCTCTAAAACAGATTGAAAATATTTAAAAAATTCAAAAACATAAAAATCTAAAAATATCAACAAAAAAAACTCACTAATGAACAATTTAAAGATTCTGGACAAGCTTGTTTCCTGCAAAAATTGCTTCCATTTATGCATTGACATTCTACACATCCTCTCATGTACCACTTTTCCATATTCTAAAAAGGTTGAAAGCTTCAAATAAATGCACCAAGAATCATTAAATACAATACTTTTGAAAAATAAAAAATAAAAAAAAACCTTATACGTCTTTCCCATATAAAGGCATGTAATTTTGTCTAAATGTAAATGCAAATCTAAAGTAAAACTGTACAGCATAGGTTTTATGTTATTGAGTAAAATGGGGTCAAATGGAATAAGGATTTTAATTTTTTATTTTTTTACGGAAAAAAGATTTTTAAATATGTATTTAAATATATAAAGATAAAATACTTTTTTTTATAATTTTATATGAAACTTTAATTAAAATCGAAAAAAAATAATTCCATTCTACACTGACATTCAGGGAGAATGAAATGCACAAATATATGTTTATTTCATATACTTGCATACAACAACACTTTATTAAAAAAACAAAAAGCAATAAATAGTAACAAATAAAATACAATCAATAATAACAATTAAAAAACCAATAAAATAAAACAAACTTTTTTATTCTTGTTGACTCTTTTAGAGGTACTAGAGGTTGAATTGAGTTTTCAGTTGTGCAGTACTTTTTGGTGCAACAAAACTCAACACCTTTTACATATCACTTTGGTATGCATGTTTGACAAAAAAAAAGCCAAACCTTGCAATTTAAATTTTCACACTAGTACCATTCCATATTTTGACTTGGTGAAGCTTTGCCTAAAACATTTTTGGACTTTTTATACTTAAATTGGTTTGCCGCTAATATTTTTGATGGACTTGTTGCTTGGTTTATTTGCTGTTTGCCATTAGATCTAAGCTTGTTTGCTGCTTTTTTGCTCTCAGCATCTTTCAACCTTTCAGGTATTTCAGGTTTGTTGAGACAAACCTTGGAATGTTGGCACATCTACATTTTTTCTTTTTTTGTGTCAATGTGTTGGATACAAAACATTTGTTGCAAAGTTGCTGCAAGTGATTGGACTGATTTTAGTTGTTTTTCAACCTCTTTTTGAATTTCCTTTTAAATAGCCGGATTTACTACAATATTAAAGGTTGTTTGCAGAAAAGGTGACTTTAGAAATGACTTTGGAGCTGATGCTATGTGACATATGCTAATGCTAGATGTTGGTGTAGATTCTGAGGGAGGTGGCTGAGGTAGTGTAGTTCCTGGTGCTAGTATTGGTGATGGTACTATTGTAAATTCTGATTGTTGAGACGATGAAGACTAGGGTTCAGATAACATTGTTTCAAACGTATAAACAATTTGCAAATTTGACTGATCGATTTTATTTATGTCAAGTGGAAAAAAGTTACCATTCTGAAGCCTAGTGACTATTTGGATATGTATAAAAATTTCACCAGAGCTGAAAAGTTTTTTTTGTAGGTGACAAAAACATTCTTTTGATAAATTGCTGAACTTTGTCTCTACATAAAACTGTTGAAGTAATTTGCACCAAACTTATTTAACATGGCAAAAAATACCAACATCTAGTGGCTGTAGATTATGTGACGAGTGAGCTAGTAAGCAAATTAACAAGATATTGTTTTCGATACAAATAAGTATGAACCGATAAGTGACATGTGTCACATGCCCATCTACGACTAAAATATAAATACCTAAACTTGAATAACTATAATTAGATTGATGTAATCTTTTGTAGATGTGAAATTAGATAAATATAATTAGATAACTAAAATTAGATTGAACTAATTACCTGGAACTTTCTTTATGGTGGAAACATACACGTTAGTGAGCCACTGCACAAATTGCTTATTTTCCATCTATCCAGATGGAAATATAGCGTATATGGCCTCATCTTGACCACTTAAACACCAATCACTATACAGACGTTTTTTTGATTTAAAAATAATGATAGAGCAAGACAATTACCAGCAGCATTAATGCAGTTTCCAACTGTATAATGAATTTTTTTATTGCTGCCAACCAATTTCAATGGTCGATTGGCAAACTATATTTTGCTTACTTTGATCACCAGAGAAGCCAATTTCATCAAAATTCCGCAAATGACATGGAGTGTTTTTGTTAATACCTGCTACATTGAATTCTCTTTGCAGTGTGTTGAAATACTTTGCTACTATTTCTTGCGTGCAAGAAGCAGCTCTGAATAATGAGATATTGCCTATGGCTCTGATTCTCAACCTATGATTCCACCGGCCTATGAAAAGGTTATACCAACCTCTTCTTGGTGTACCATTAGGAAACAAATGAGATTGACCTTGGTGTTGAAAATAGGCAGTAACTAGTGTGAAACTCAAAATGTCGTTGTTCAAATATTACTAGTAAATTAAAAATATTATAAGAATAATAACTTTTCACAACATTGAATAAAGAATAACAATATTAAACGTACTATTACAGACACTAAGTTGACTGGATGTCAACCACTGTTAACTATGTAATAATATGGTCATCCCATTGTGAGAAGATTTGGAGCATAATATTATGACTATTACACAAATGGGGTTAAATAAGCTCTGAAAGGATACTGATATTTAATTTATTCTTAGAGGCTTACTTGGTGTATACCAAATGTACATCAAATACAGGTATATATTGATGCAATTAAGCCTAATTAAAAAAACATTTAAAAGTTGTATGTTTATTGCCAGAGTAAAAACAACACTTTTAAAACAAAGAAAAAATTTATAAAACATTTACTTAACATATAAAAACAAACTAAAGTATTACATAAAAACAAAGTAACTTAACATATACGTCAAAAACTGCAAAGATTATCAAAATCATCAGATCATCAAGACCATGAGCTTCTTTATATCAAAGTCAAAGGCAACTAAAATAAAGCTTGAAATAATGTACATATTAAATAGGGAAGCATTTGTTTTTTTTTGTTTATTTTATTAATTTTATATATCTATTAACATTATGAGAAACCCAACACCTCAGAAAATGCTTACTTTGACCGTGTACTCTCTGGTGGAAGTTTAAACTCAACAGCAATTAGTTTAACCAATCAAAGAATGTCATTGCAAAAAATGTCAAAACTGAGTTTTTCCACTTAAATAATTAACATTCAATACATCAAACTGTATAGTTGTAGAATCATTGAAAAAAAGGATTTCAGTTGCCTACTCCTAATCATTTGATGATTGATTTCGATAGAGAATTTCATGTTGATTTAGAATCGTAAAAGACATTGACCTAAAAATTTGGGAAAAGCACTCTAATTCGATGTTGAGGTTTAAAAAATTACACTAAAAACCCTAATAATTGCCATTTTCTTAATACTCAAATATGATTAGATTCGTTTTCTTAGTTAACTTAAAAACAGCCCGATTTTTATTAACATTGTAAAGCAAAACAATTTAAAGCAAAACTTATTAGTTTCTAATTGATTCTGACCGTAGCCCTAACCCTGACCCTAACCATGTAGTTTTGTTTACCCCAATCCCTATTTCTCATCAATATGATGTACCATTTATTTATTATCTATACAAATTTAGAAAAATGTGTCTGCTGCGTGAGTTTATTTTGAATAAACCTCTAATGCGCATTGAAATTTTTTCCTTAAAAAAAATAGAAATGAAACAGCAAAGCGCTGTATATTTTTTCAGAATTGACACTTTTCTTAAAAGTGAAGTTACTCAAGTAGAGTTTGATCCTATATCTATGAATGTTTCAAACTTTGTTTTGATCACATTAGATGCAAAACTTCTGTTGCACGTGGAGCTTGGCCAAAATAAATGCAATCAAAGCAACAGTAAAATATCACAGTTATACAAATAACATTGGAAAATTCAAAAGCACCAGGTTGATCATTGTTTCTTTTTGCTCTTTTTAAAACTTTAGGAAAATCTTGTTTAATTTTAGCACAAATGCAAATTTTTAATTTGAATTTCATTTCAGTTGTTTTTAATGAAGTACTTCCAAAATTTTGTAAATATTGAGTTTGTTTTGGGTTAAAAGTTTTAAGGCAGCATATCTAAAGCTCTTTCAAAAAAGAACAAATGTATTTTAGCACAATTTTCAGTGTGTGTTAAAGTCTCATTTTGCATTGAAATAATAACATCTGATATTTATCTTCAATTTTAGGTGTTTCTTTTGTGTAAACATAAAGCAAAAATGATGTAAAAATAAAAAAATATTATTAGAAATAGAATATTTGATTTTTAAAAACTTACTAAAACAGACAAAGTATACATTAACTTTAAGTTAGTAATTTTTAGAACAAAATAAAATAAAACTCAATTCATAAATCTTATTTGAATTATTATTCATCAATCAATAAAACTAGCTGCAATACTTTTTGTAGATAACATAAAAGGAAAAGTTACATGGTTGGGGTAATATTTGGCACTTTAAGTTACAGAATAATAATCAACATGCCTAACAGTTAAGGTATTTGTGATACTGAACTCTTCTGGTTTAAAGATTACCTATTTAACAGATCTCAAACAATTTGTTTTCAAAACAGAATGTCTGAAACAGGAAAAGTTGTATGTGGTGTACCTCAAGGATCAACATTGGGCTATTTTTTTCTATTTGTTATTTACTTGAATGACTTTATATCTTGTTTGAAACATTTAAAATCTGATATTTACGCTAAAGACACAGTCATATACGTTCCTTGAAAAAATCTATTTATTATAGAATCACGTCTTTCATACAATATGGAAGAAATCTCAAAAATCTTCCATATGTATTAAAAACAAACCAACACTCAACTTTGGAGTCAATAAAACGAAGTTCATGTTGTTTGGTACAGGAAAATCTCTCTCAAGACAACTGAAAACAATGAACATTTCTTACAACTTCAATTCAAAATGTTTTGTCTTGAGCTATAAATACCTTGGTATTGACCTAGACCTGACATTAAACATGAGTAGTTATTTTAACAATGCTTTTTTTAAAAAAGGTTGCGGCATAATAAGGCTATCTAAAAAATTAAATATTTGTTAACATCTCAGAACATTTTTTCAAGTAGACTATTATACCCGTTTTAAAATCGTTTTAAAGCCTCAACCTAACAAAATCAAAAACAGATAAGCTAGAACTTTTGCATCCACATGCATCTCGTATAATAAATGCAAAGAGCAAGCATGAAGTGAACACAGAATCATTATTCTTGCAAATTCTTGTTGCATCTTATCGATTAACAAAGCAATGTATTTTTGGTTTATCATGCCCAAA